GATGATGTACTTTTGGTTATAATTGAATGCATGCTAATTTGAATACTAATTTATTTTACGGTTTGGATTTGCTTATTGAATGCTCATATTGGAAAAGTACTCCTATTTTGAATGCTAAAATTGAAAAGCACTCTATGCAGAAATCTAGGAGCCCCCTCCATCATCCACGCCGTCGTGGGGGTAGCTTCTCCTTCATTCCCGTGTGCTAGACAATTTGGTGTAATAATGCACTCAGGAATGAAAGGAGGAGCTATCATCATCGATAGTCAACCCGTGATTAATAATAATGATCTAATTTAGGTTTTTTTAGTATATATATTTAATTGTACAAGTTTAATATTTGAATTATAAACATAGGACGGAAATGTCGTACTCGGACGACGAAAACCGCCCGGGGGAGTGCGACTGGTGCCACGATGACCGAGGTATATGCGACAGGTTCCTTGAGCTGGACGAAGATCGGCTCTTCAGCATTAAGCTCGAGGAGACCTTCGATGTTCATACGGTACGCAACGACGACAATATTTTTTTCGTAATTAAGCACGACTTCAACTATTTTAACGTGTATTTTTCATCTTTTCTAATTCGACTAGCTTATCCAATGCTATGCAAGACGCTGTGTCTTGGAGAGGATGGGTTTTGAAGACCATGAAAGTATGGAAACCAAAAAAATCACCTAAGGACCCATCATGATGTGGATTTTGAAGTAAAGCTGTACAATGCTGAGAGTGTAACCCATTTTAGTTGCAAAAATTGGGAAGCACTTTGCAAGATGTATGATTTTGATGAGGGTATGCTTGTCACCATGGATCTTGGTGATCCTACAATCGAGCAAGACAATATGGACATTTGGGTCCTTGTGGATACACTTCCAATTCTTCCCTCATGTGAGCTTCTCAAACATAGTTATTAAGTAATTTATATTGTTTATTTTAAAATAGTTGACAGCTTATTTCCATTGACAGCTTATTTTCATTCTTCAAAGAATGTGCGGAAGATGGTAGACAAAACCCATTACACCGATGGCTCCAAATTAACTTATAAGGAGAAAAATCATCTGATTGCATTTTGTATTGATCTTGAGAATTACAATGTCTACAATCGAACTCCTCAACATTATGGTCAATACGTGCCACTAGTGCACGTGTTGAACTACGGTAACTATCATGGAGATACTCTGGTAAGATTTTTTACTATTACGACATCCGTGTATCTTTTTGCATACTTCTAAAACTAGTACATCATTGCTAACTATGAAGTTATTACTACGTTTTTCAACAGATAATCCCGAATGATTGTGTGCCTCATCTGATGTGTACGCACGGTCGCCTTGATGTTTTGAACATACAACCAGGTCGTCCTACAAATCTCAACTGTCCATACCGGATTTCTAAAAGAAGTGGAGACATGACAATCAAAGAATGAAAAAAATGTATGGACAGTCGTAAGGAGCTTCTTGGAAGCAAAAGAAAGCGAAGAGCAAGAATTGGAGACAGGATGATCTCCATTCTTCATAATGGAGAGTCAGGGTCTATATTGTTTTATGTTATTTTACCTTAAGGGTGTTTAGGTCCTATCTGATACTGATGATCATGTGCTAAGAACAATTATGTAGGGTTGGGTTCGATGACTATGAGGATGAGGAACGTATGACTTGTTATTAATAACGAGTAGAAGTTGTATGATGATGCATGATTAGTAGGACTTGTTATTATATATGATGATGTATGATGCGAGCATGAGTTATTATATATCAGCGGGTGAAATGAACATATAGCAGTAGCGTTGGTAAACCAAGAACGAAGATATAAGAGAGGACACTTCTCTCTATTAGCTAGCTAATAACAACCTAAATTAACCCCCCAAACCCCTAAACCAGTCACTTTTTTTAAAGAAAAACCTCAGCTCCAGCCAGCTGCTGACGCGTGGAAGCCTTTTGGTCCCAGTTCATGTCACCAACCGGGACCAAAGGCCCCCTTGCCTGGGCTGCCCGCAGTGGCCACATGGAGGCCCATCTGTCCCGGTTCGTGTAAGAACCGGGACTAAAGGGGGAGGGCATTAGTACCGACCTTTTTGTCCCAGTTCTTAAACCGGGACAAAAGGCCCTTACGAACCAGGACAAATGCCCTGTTTTCTACTAGTGAGAGGCCACCTAAGGGAATTATAAAATTGAACGTCGACGCGGGATTTGAGATGGACAACGGCTCTGGGAGTACATGAGCTATCCTGCGAGATGACATGGGAAATTTTATAGCTGCTTCGTGCGGGGACATTCCCTTTGTGGAGGATGCGGCGACGGCAGAAGCAAGGGCTCTGAGAAATGGGTTGTTACTTGCTAATGATACGGGTTGCAACAAACTTTATGTCGAAGCGGACTGCATGGAGGTGATTGATGTTATGCAAAACGGCGGGAACTTCCTCGAACATGCGGCGGCAATCTATGAATAAGGTACTTTCTTAGCTCGTAATTTTAGTTTTATTGTTTTTAAACATTGTCCTAGAGAAGCCAATATGGCGGCCGATATGTTGGCTAGGAATTCGGAGACCTCTCGAACTATTGTTTGGAAGTTGGAGCCTCCGGGTTTTCTAGTGGACGTCCTATCAAACGATGTATCCTTATTTTCACATGAAATATAAACCGCCATGATGGCTTTCCCTAAAAAAAAGGAAGCCTTAGTTTTGAAAAGAATGGGCCACATCGATCCAATGCTACACATTACACTTTTGGGGAGTGTTTGGCTACCTTCGCCGATTTTTGCCCATGCATCTGCACTTAGGGCATTTCAAACATTGACCTCAAAACAGCATATGTTTCGACTGAGCTTTCGGTATGTAGTTTGTTATCCAACACGAACTCGTATTTGTTCGCGGACACGTCCACATGTCTGAATTCTCGCAAAACGGACACAAACTGAGGGGAAATTTGCGGGCGTCCGGACCTCCGCCATGTGGGACTCCGACACCCTGGCCCACTCAGATCCCTCTCCCGGGTCACTCTTCTTCCACTCCGACCTTGCTTCCCCTTGCTCTATATCCGCACACTCCTTGTCCACCGACGCAATTGTACCTCACCAACCGTCGCCCACGTGTTGTCGTACGTCCACAGCCCCCACGCACGAACTCGTCGTCCTTGAACTACGCCGCCGTCTGATCACGACAGCAGGAGGAGGCGAAGGAGGAGGATGACAAGAAGAGGCAGCTGGTGTAAAGCCAAATGGCGCCTCCCGATGTTGCCACTCTGATATCCAAAATCATGTGAACTTCAAGTTATGTTAATGAACTTCTTGCTTGTTGACTTCGTATGCTTGTACTCTTCCATGTGTGTGTGAGAACATATATTGCCTCTATGTTTTGGAATGGTGATTTGGCTATGATGTTGCACCATTTGTGATATGTGGGATGTAATAATTGCTATAGTATGTGAAATACTATTGCTCTATATGGTGGGATGATTGAAACCGAATTTTAAAAAAAAATACTAGAAACAAATTTGCCGAGGGCACCACTTGGAAAAGATAACGATGCCGAGTACACCTCTCGAAAAAGTGACTGAACTGGTGCAATCTGGCGAGCTACCCGAGAGTAGAATACATGCTCACGGGAAAAGGACATGTGGCAATGAACTGGACGCTCCTGCTCGGAGATTCGCCAAGAGGACGCTCCTGCTGCTGTTACCGAAAGGTGAGCCGTCGAGCCTAGCATGTGGCGGCATGGAGGTCTTCCTCCAGGGGATAGGGCGGCGTACGTGCTTGCATGGGAGGAGGCGGCTCGAGAAGAACGTGCGTGTGTGAGCTTCACCGGCCGGATTTCGGCTCGGTTCTTTCCTGAGGATGTCAAGACGAGATGGCAGTCTCATGGTCGAAAATAAACCGGCCGAAGGTGGAACAGAGAACCTTACATATTTTTTTTGGTAGGAGAGGAGCTACGAGAACGCACAACGCGTGTCTAGTTTAGGATGTAGCTTTGGAGCGAACATTTTCCAGTTCTAAGAGTTGGCCGTGGTACATTTGAAACACACAACGCAACCGAGACAAGTGACAAAATGCAGCCGAAGCATCTCTGCTCATTGTATCGTTGTCCTTTTTTCATTTGCAGGAAGGATAAATTTCATTGATCAAGAGGGTTCATTACCTTCAGCATTGCTCAGTGCCATAACAACATCCGGACCAGCTCTAAGCCACACAGCCGTGCGCTGATGTATCGCTGCCCTTGTCAGCCCACATCATCGTCAGCTGCATCATTATTATCATCGACTGCGACAGGTAAAAAGATGAAATTAGGGCATGTGATTTGTGCAGTAAAATTAATAACACAAATGCAAAATTGTTTACTTGAATTTTACAGGGTCTAATTTTGTTTGAAATCAATCACGGAAGGAATGATCGAGATGGACAAAAGCGCCAAGGTTGCAAGCTGAGGAGGCAACCCTGTCAGCATCGCCCCTAGCTTTGTACTACAATGACTTTTGATGAATAGATTGAAAGAAGATCAGACGGTCCACCTCATCCCAGATCAAGTTAAAGGGAACTCGACAGCCCGAATGCAAGGAGTAGTGCTTACTTTCATAACTCTACCAGTATAGTTAAGTTTACCGCCAACCACCCCGTTTACTGAATACTTATATAAGCCTGGTTGTGGCTAGGGTTCGAGCATTCTGCAATGTCCAGTTCTGCCGTCATTGCCAGAATTGAACACATAATAATATTTATACGAAATGCTCGTATTCAACTGAAATGTGCAAGAACTACTAGATATCAAAATCGCCCCAAAAAATATGTACTTCTAGAAGAACCTGGCACATGAATATAATAAATCTAGACTAAAGTAAAGGAACTGAATACGACCAGTAAGATCCACGGGCCAGACAAGACTGATTCATACAAGCCGTGTTAGTAGTCTGAATGAGAGTTTTGGTTCCTAGCAGAACATAAGGATTAGAAGGTCCTGCTTGCTCTAGTTTAGTGAAAACTGACACATGTTGCATCCCCGGAGTCGGTGTCTCACTGCTCGCCTTTGCCCAGAGGGTTCTTCATGAGTTCCCTAGCCTTCCTGCATGAATTCATGAAACGTCAGCTAAAAAGGTCCTCAATATGCAGCCAATAACTACATGATTATCTGTTCTGAAAAAAAACTATATGATTCCTCTTTCTGGGGATAACATCATAGGTCCCTAAAAGTTATTGATGGCACTTCACAAAAGAGCTTCTCATCATCACTGTTTAAGAGATGAGAAGCAGAAGCAGAGTTTACCGAAGTAAACAAAAGGTGGAAAGAATTGCACCAGGGGCACATAACTGCTTCTCACAACAGTAGAAGTATTTTCCCAACCTAAAACCATACTAGCACTCGGAAGACACTCAAAAGAGATAAGCATGTAAGAAAGTGGGCTTACCATAGTTCACCCTCGATTTCGGCATTCCCAGGATCCAAATTTTGTGCGTCCAAGAGAGCATCACAGGCTTGTTTATACTCCTGGGTGCAGAGCAAATCAAAGAGCGTGACCAAACTGTAATATCAATATGAATTATGAAATACTCCCTCCGTTCATAAATATAAGATGTTCTAACTTTTTTCTGAAATCGGATGTATATAGACATGTTTTAGTGTGTTTGTTTACTCATTTCAGTCGGTATGTAATACATGTTGAAATATCCAAAACATCTTATATTTGTGAACGGAGGGAGTAGGTCAGCCATGAACACACTGGCAAGCTAGACGTACCTTGAGTAGCATGTGAGCTGCACCTTGACGGTAGCAAGCTTTTGCCCAATCAGGTCGCAGCATTCTGCACATGAGAGCATCTGACAAAGCACCTTCACCATCATCCATGAGCAGTTTACAAAGACTCCTGTTTGCATACAGTGTTGCACTCTCTGCATGCTCTATTGCCTACACTCAAAAATAAGAGGTCATGCAAATATTATTCTCAACTTAAAACAATAGCATGCAAAAAATTTATTTTAATGGTCGTTATGGGCTTCACACATGCTAACAGCTAGAAACTGTCTAAAATTACTACTCACTCAGTAAGACATTAATACCGCAGAAGATGGAACACATTCTCTTACTAGACAGATTGGCTTGTTGTACGATCAATCTGGATAGAGCTAAATCATTTGATACACTATCGTGAACTTCTTACTGATTCTGGGGATGTCAGACAACAGCGAAGTTTGATGATGGAATCTTCTTTCAATCTGCCCCAAATTGTAAGATGCATGAATTTTAGCACATTCTCAATATACTGGCTTCAGATCATAACCATTTTGTATTGCCCTTGGTTAGATCATCATAATTTTAGTTGATCTATAATCAAATAGATGGTTCTCTCATGAAATCATTGTGTCCCAGTCCTACTGATCATTACTCCTTCCAGTACACAAAAAAGGGACGTCCTGTGTCAAACTTTGATGAACACCATGAAAAAAACTTTGACCAACAATACTGCTTAAAATATTCAAATTGGGTTGAAAATCAAGTGCATAGATTTGTGTAGAGAAGTATTGTCAGAATATTATAATTTTTAGGGCAGTTGTACATACCATCGCAACAGAATTAGTAGTCAAAATTTTATTTTCAAGACCATGTCAATGCATCCCCTAAAAAAAGACCATGTCAATGTACAAAACATCATTTTTTTTCAGGAATTAGAGGGAATATTAATTATTTTTGCCAATCAAATTTTCATATTTAATATTAGGAAAGGAGTTAGATATCTTCAACTGGTTCCCTGTATTATAATAAATATAATGCAAGAAGTGTACCAAATCATAGAACTTTGTTGCCATCTTATAGTCCTTCTGCTTGAATGCCTTATCAGCATGTGACTTGAACAAACTTTTTCTTCTTTCAAGGTGCCGTTGCTCCTAGATAACAAATAAATGGAACATGAACTGAATATTTTGAATTTTGGAATAATCATCATTTAGTATGATTTTTTTACCACAAAAACATGCAGCAACTTTGTCTTCAGCATTCTTCTTAGTTTGTATATCGGTGGCCTTTAATTTACCATCGAGTGTTGTCACTAAAGTTAGAACAATGTCAGTCTACCTAGATGGCAAGCATTCTAGTAGGAAACATGGGATAATAACACAATGTCAGTCTACCGAGATGGCAAGCATTCTAGTAGGAAGCATTCTAGTAGGGAACATCGGCAGAGATCAAGGTGTTTCTTCTTTCACGAAAACAATCAAGTTGAAATCATTATGTCCTTGTTAGGTAGGTATGTCATGGGATAATAACACAACAACAAAGCCTTTAGTCCTAAACAAGTCAGGGCAGGCTAGAGGTGAAACTCATGGTTCTGGCACGTGGATGGCTAACTTCCATGCACCCCTGTCCATAGTTAGTTCATTGGTGATATTCCAGTCCTTCAGATCTCTTTTTACGGACTCCTCCCATGTCAAGTTTGGACTACCCCGACCTCTCTTCACATTAAATATATACATCAAATACAGAACTTGCCCGGGCAACAACTAGCCATAAGATAAACGAGTGCAACATAGAACTAGTATGTCAGTTACTAAAATATGTTGAGAACTTCTAAAATATACTACTCTTTGACATTTTTACCAAGATACTAGTGAATACAACACACCCTGAACATGATGCTGGTGTACTTCACAACTGTGGTATGAGATTCCTGATTATGAGCCTAGTCCAAGCATTCCTGTACCAGCAAGCATTTAACTATTATACAGCGTTACAGATTTTCTTAATACTCGAAACGGAGATAAGTTTACGACAGTTCACATAAATATAACCAGAGTAGAATCTACATGTAAATATCAGTATAGCAGATGCCTTATCTTAGGAGTCGATCTTATCAGGTGTAACCGTGTAAGTTGTTTGTACTTTTCAACCTAGGAACCAAAGGACTCTTTTACTCAATGATTTGTACTCCCTCTGTAAACTAATATAAGACCTTTTAGATCACTAAAGTAGTGATCTAAAAGGTCTCATATTAGTTTACAGAGGGAGTACTAATTATCCACCAGGAAAACCAGATTTTGTTAGGATTTGCTACTCATTACCATCCAGAGTTTTTCATATTATGTTCTGTTACCAAATTGATAGTGGACAATAAATATGGTTCATGATGTCTATTGGTGAGCAGCCCTGTTGTTAGATTAAAGTTGGTAGTTTGTTCCATAGTTCAAAAAGGCGCGCCTAGGCTCTAGGCGATAGCAAAACACCTAACGCTTAATGTGCCATGATTGTGCTTAAGCATGCACTTTGGTCATAATAACGCAAGGCACTGGTAAAACTCACAATTAATGCATAGCGCATTTTTTAACTTTGGTTTGTTCTCAGATAGTCAGTACCAACAACTTATTTTTTTAATGATTTTCTCTTGAAGTGCAATGCATAAAGTAATCACAGCTTACAACAACACTAATGTACAAATTGAATACTGTAGCACAAAAATATGATGGATTAGCTTTCAAATAATATTCAGTACGCAGGCAGCATAAGAACAGAAAATAACATACAATTGGCTTCTTTTCTTCAATTTTTGCATGAGAAATTACTCCTGCAATAGTCCAGTTTGGGACATTTGGAATTGGAGAAGTCACAGGAAACAACATTTCAACCTCTTCCATGCAATCACGTATCACAGCAAGCTCTACTGGCAACCTACCCAACTGGACAACAAAAGGAAAAATAACTTACATTTTGTCAAACAATTAACGGCTCCATTCAAGAAGAAAACCATAGAGATCACAACAGAAGAACCTGATCATTACATAACATATAATCAATGAAGAAAATTATAATATTGTCAGAAAGAACCAGAGTCACAGTAATTATCAAATGTTTTAACAACACGAGTTAGGATGAAGAACCATATCAGTTAAGCTAAAAATGTCAATTTATTTCAGTTGTTATTGCATGAGTACATTGGAGAAATACTGATACCCAGAATGGTACATACTGCTATTTCATTATCTCATCAACTCCGTCAACTGTTTAGAATAATAGCAAAAGAACATGAACATTACGTGATGTACAGCCGACATAAAAAATAATAACATCGTGAGAAAGAACCAGGATCTGCGTAATATTTTTATCAGGTGCTTCAACAAGGATTTACTCAGCAAGCATTCACAAGTTTGCTTAGCAATTCAAACTGCTAGCCCACAAGGTTTCCAAGAGAGGTATTTCACAAAAAGTTGAGGCTGAGACACCACAACAGTTTTTATGTAGGAATCAGGGCCCATAATATCATTCCTACTTATAAAGGTTGAAGTTGGTGGTGATCTCACATGCAGGGCCGGTCCTGAGATTTCGGGGGCCCGGGGCGAAACTATAGCCCGGGGCCCTTAATATAAATACTAAAACAATGATCGATGTATGCATATATATAAAATGTTACCAACAATCACATAAAAATAAGTTGTGCATACTAACTTAATTTATTTTTGTAATATTTCTGAATGCATAGTTAGCTGACATAAATGTGATAAAATTTAAAGAAGAAATTAGTAATTCAAAAACTGGTGCGAATTTGCAAAGGCACCAGACCAACTCAATAAAATCTTACCTATTATCACGCTGAACTCATAAAGGTCAAATCTCTGACAATATACATCCCTAACAATATTTAATCGATCGATTATTGATAATCCTATTAGAACAATGGAGATGCCATACTAAATCTTTTATAAATCTTTACCCATTATCATGATAAAACCGTATAGGTCATCTGTTTCTTGAAGATTGAGACGTACCTTTTCTTCCATGGATTGAAATCACACTATCCCGGTGAGTGGTGGGCATGAGGCCTCCCCTTGGCATGGCTTTCTTCTCCTCTTTCCTGCCATGTGGTGTCTCCCGTCTCCGGCCAAGGAGGATTGCTACCCCTAGCGCTGGTGATTGGGTGAGCTTGCCAGGGAGGCTAGCGATCGGGTACAACTAGTGCTAGGGCTAGAGCAAGCGGTCAGGAGAAAGAGAGATAAAGATCGATCGGAAAAAGATTATAAGATGGAGATCGATTTGTAGGTTTTTTTTTCCGAGGCAAGATCGATCTATAGGTAAACATGCGCGATTTCAGCTCGCGACTCGGCGGCGTGGCTGTCCTCTCGTTCCTCCCGTGGGCCTG